CACATTTGGAGTGCCTGCTACATGTGATAAGTCATGTTAAAGCTCTACATACACTGTCTCCACTGAGGCTCACAACAAGCCAGTGTAGCAGGTTCTGGGTATAACTACATTGCAGATTCCTGTGGTGCAGCGGCCACAGTGACTGAGGTCTCTGGGCCAATACATGGGGAGGACAGAATCCACCAGAGACAAACAAGCCAATTCACCAATCTGTACCATGAGGTTTGGAGACCACTTGGCTAGAGAAGGTGGAGACTCAGGGGCTGATGGTTCAGAATATGGAAAGGGCCAGCCATGGAAAACCTGTGCCCAAGCCCTTGTGGAGGATCCATCTGTGGGAACCACTCAGCAGCACAGAGAGGAGTAGATCAGACTGGCAAGACTGAAGTAAACCCACCCACCAGTCTGGCTAATCCAGCTTGTGTATGGCCAAGTGGCGTTTACTTTTTCATAGTATCTTTTTAGCTGCATATACTTAAGGTGCGCAACATATTTTGGTACACATATACAGAGTGAAGTAATTACTACAGTCAAGCAAAGTAACGTCTGTGTGTGTGCGCGCGTGTACACGCGTGTGTGGTCAAAGCACCTGAAATCTATTTGAGGATGCTCAGAGAAAGAAGTAAAGATGTGTGACCTATACAAAGGGAGCGATTTCACAGTACTGGGAGGACAGGAGCAGGAGCCACGTCCCAGGGTCCCATCACAACCCCATCACGATCTAGTGTAGGCACAGACCGTAAGGGCAGAAAGCACAGCCCTGGGCTGGGAACAAACAACGCAGTGGTCACTGCAGTAAGCACAGCCCTCTGCTTTTAGATTCCAGGCTGCAGTGATTCTCCCCAGCATCACACCGAGAAGGAGCTCTCCCAGCCTATATTTAGAAGTCAGAGTTTTCTCGGTCTCCTGACTTTGTATCCATGGATTATTATATATGACAATGGGGTGTATGAAACCTATTAGCTAAATGGAGAAAAAAATGAGCATAATTTCCTGGGTCAGAGGAGGGGAGTGTAGCATATTTAATGCCTTCCACGTGGAAGAGGAAAACGTTAATGTGTAAAATCAGAGCGGGAGGCCTGTAAAGGGATGGTAGAAAGTTGCTGTAGCAAAGCATTGGCAGGAGCCTGGCACTCTCGGACATGAGCTGTGCCATACCCAGGCTCTGCGCACCTTCAGGCAGCATTGGAGCAGAGGCTTACTCACCTTTCCTGGTCCCCAAATGGACCACAGGGGGAATACTGCAAGTGTCTGTGCTTCTCCTACCACATCCAAGTGGCTCAAACAGAAAAGACATGCTGTTTTCTTCATAGGTACTGGCACTTGACAAGTTCTTAGAAGTTTAATGGTAACAGATGTTTGCCTTTCCAAGGAAAGGGAGAGACAATGCATGAGTTTTGTTCTCTGTACGGAGAAGCTGGTGTTGACTCTGACCACGCGGGAAGAAATGTGGAATTTTCCAGGTGGTAGACCACATTCTCTAACCCCCGACACCAGAGAGGTGAGGGAACTGCCCATTCTTCCCTGAACATCGTGGAATTTCTGGGGAAACTGATCAAGAACCCCAGCAAATAAAACAAACAGAAAGAAATCGGGCCTAAGCAAAAAGACATAAGTGAGAATCATCAGCCTGCACTCTATTCCCTGTTGTTGATTTAAGATGTATTAGCCATTCCCCTGTGGCTGCCTTTCTGCTAAGCCCATTCTATGTATTAACTTATTATAGCCTCAATTACCTTATAAGGAAAATACTATTAAAATCTCCATTTTCTGCTCCAAAGAATGCAGTTTGGACAGATAGAGTGGCTGTCCGAGGACACTTAGTCATAGAGTATTAAGGGATCATTTGATCTTTCACCTGCTTGAGGTCAGAGGCCATGGAGAGGCCACTGTACCTCCCCATGTCCTGAGGTTTCTGGAACAAAGACCACATCACAGGCCGTAGCCGATCTCTGCAGCCCCCCACCCCCAGTGCCTGGTGGGTGACGCAAGCCAACTATGCAGAGTGAGGGACACAGAGAAAGGCAGCAAACCTCTTCGAACAGCGGGTAACATCGCCCCAGAGACCCTAGCTGTGTCTAGGATAGAGATCAAAGCCTGTTCTTTTCATCAGTTGTTATTAATTAGTATGAAAGCAACGCTCCTACCACATTCTGATAATCATAGCTTATACCATAAAAACTGTAATTATGATAGTCATGGAATAGAAAGAGAGCTGGAGATGGGAAGAGAAGAAAAGGAATTTTGTGTAGGTAGAGGGAAAAGCGTTCTTTAGTGAGCTCGGTTTCTCTAAGATCCAGCAGAGGTCATCTGATATGATGGCCACTGTAATCACACTGACAGTCTTACTCAATCCCCACATTGTAAAAAAATCAATAAAGAATTACACCTCTCCAAACAAATCTCCAGGAAATCTGATGTGGGAGTTTGGGAATCGTATTGTTTGTTCATTTTTCCATTTTTATATTCAGTTTAGAAAAGAACATGGTTTATCTGATCTATTCCCTCTTGGCTTGAAATACCTTAACTGGTAGGGCTCGTTGTATGTATGCCTAAAGTATATAATGATTAACACAAATGATTGAGATTCTTGCAGTGTAGGCGGTGATTATTTCTGCTGTGATAGATTGTAAATGAATTGTATGCACCTGTAATTTAGAAAGTGCACAGATTCACATTTTTGATTAAAATTAGCTCCCTAAACCTAATGATTTTTGGAAGCAAGTTGATAGAGACAACAGTAATGGAACCACTTCACAATTTAAAAACTTATTAACAAGACAAAAGTTGAGATCATTTTCTAAGTCTCACTGGAACAGCCTGGCAAGGGCTGTCTTTGCCTCTTCATAGAGACATGATGATAGTTGTGGTGCACAACCAATGGGTTAACCTCAAGTAAGAGAAACTCGAAAAGAACATTCTCCACTCTCAGGATTCCCCTCAAAGGCACCTGATTTTCATAGACATCCTTTGTGCTGTGAAATCATATTTTTTTCTTTATTTTTCTCCAACAACAATGTCATAAACCAAGGGGTTAGGGGTCAGGCAGGTCTTACCCTGTGTAACTTCCAGACTGCACAAGGGAAGTGGGTCCACGTGTCAGCAGCCAGCCAGGTACTCAAGGACTGTTTGTAAGCTCTGGGTGAACAAGTCTTTAAAAAAAGAAAGAAAACTGTGCATGGCCCTGCCTGGTCAGGTGAACTCACAGACCCATCCTGAATAGGGCAGACTGTGATTTCCGCTTTGTCATTGTCTCTCAGAGAGCCCAAAAAGTGGCATTTCTAGGCAGTGGCCAAGGAAATGATGGCACTATTCATTGTCCATAAAACCACCTCACAACAACAGCTCAAGATGAAGAGGGGAATCAGAGTCCCAGGATTGAGTCACATCTTGCCGATTAAATGATGTAACTTCCTATAAACCAGCTACCTCACCTCTTTGAGCCTCAGTTTCCCCATCTGTAAGATGATAAACGTATACCCCCACACACATGCCTCCAGGGCTGATTTGAGAAATACGATCCACAACAGACCCCAGATTGTGGATAGGAGACCAGAATCTGGTAGGGCTGAAGACAATGGTGCTCTCCCTACAATAATTCTCAAGTATTTTATAGTGAATGTGAGAGGTTAGCATCCCAAAAGCATGCTCCCCAGAAAAGGGCAATGTAGGGATTCAGTGGGTCATGTGGAAACCCACAACTGAGATTTCTCAAAATCAGAAGAGCTTTATCAAAAAAGAGTGGTCCAAGATAGCCTGTCCAGAAAAAATAAATTATCTTTAAATTCATCCATCACAGCTAGCAAATAATGATTTTGCTCAATTTACTCAAGAACATTTTCTTTCACAAAGAAATAAAGCAGCACAGATATGCAGACATCCCCTGGCCCTTGATGTGGTCGTCCTCTCTTCCTCCCCAAAAAGTGTTGGAATATATCCTTACTGCACCCGCCTCTGCAGCTGTACCTTATAGGTATGGTTACATGAGTAATTTATAACACTGGTGTCTTTGTTGTTTATATTAATGGTACATGTTATTTCATTTGGTACCAGGGACCAAACTCGGGGCCTTGCGCTTGCAAGGCAGGCCGCAGAACCACTGAGCTAAATCCCCAGTCTTGTTGCTTATATTAATGGCATCCCATTCTATGGATTCAGAGCCACATTTCAAAAGAAGCAGAAAAGCCACATCCCAGCATCTGCGGTCTTTGCTGGCACACCTGCACAGGGTTGAGTAGTGACTCAGACTCAGAGCGATGTGATCCCAGGCCACACTCTCAACTCGGTCCCCTAACTTGTAAACAGGTGCATGTGAGAAACTTTCAGGTGTGAGGGCAAGGCTGCTCTTCTGCCCACCGGCTGGCTCCTAGCCTCGCCGCGCCTTCCTAGCCGTCTCAGAGACACAGGCTTTTCACCTCTGGGTGTGCAGCAGGAGGTCAGAATGTGAGAACCTCTGAGGCTGTGTTTGAAAAAGCACGCACCCGGGAGCCCCCACTCCTCAGGGCTCGAGTATCGTGGAACCTGGAGGCTCCCTGGCTGCAGATGGGAGAGGAAGAACCCCTAACCACAGGAAAGGCCTTTCTGACTGTTAAGCTTTCCCAAAACCCACACACAAGAAGGGCTATTTGTCTGTTTGGTTTGGGGGACAACACCGGCAGAGAGGAGGGAGAGTAACTCACAGTGTTAACACCACAGCTCACACTCTGAGCAGCAGACGAGGCCATGTGCAGGACACACTCCTCGCTGCCGTCTTCCTCCCTGCTTCTGTTCAAGCCCAGCTCACTAGAATCTAAGATCTGCCTTTCTCCCACAGTCCCCTCAGGTGCTCCTCCCTTGGATCTGGCTCAGGGCATTACAGCACCTTTCCCAGGTCTAGCATGAGGCAAAGGCTTCATATGCATCTACTCAGAGCTTCGCAATATGGTCATTGCTGCTAGTATCTGTCTTTAGTGGTGACCTGCCGGTACCCTTGGTCACAACTAATCTGATCTCCCCTCCAGGTACCAGCAGTGCAGAAGTGAAGGAGAACCGTAATGTGAGCAACTTGGGAACCAGGCCCCTGCCACCAGGGGACAGGGCCAGAGGCAGCACACCCAGCATCAAAAGAAAAAGGCCCTTGGAGGAAGGGAACGGGGGCCACTTCTGCAAATTCCAGCTCATCTGGAAGAAGTTGTCCTGGTCAATGACACCCAAGAATGCACTTGTCCAGCTGCATGAGCTAAAGCCAGGCCTACAGTACCGGATGGTGTCCCAGACGGGCCCAGTACATGCCCCAGTCTTCGCTGTGGCGGTGGAAGTGAACGGACTCACATTTGAGGGCACAGGGCCCACCAAGAAAAAAGCCAAGATGCGCGCAGCCGAGCTGGCACTGAAGTCCTTCGTGCAGTTCCCCAACGCCTGCCAGGCGCACCTGGCCATGGGCAGCGGCACCAGCCCATGCACGGATTTCACTTCCGACCAGGCCGACTTCCCAGACACTCTGTTCAAAGAGTTTGAGCCGTCGGCACCCAGCGAGGGCTTCCCGGTCTGCCGGCCCATGGACCCCGAGCTGCTATCCACCGCCTACCGGAGAGGGCGGCTGCTGTACCACACCCTGGACCTCAGGGGCCCCGCCCGGCCCGACCGGCCCTGGCCTGCTCCCGCAGCCCCCAGAGAGAGGAACCCGGTGGTCGTGCTGAACGAGCTGCGCTCCGGCCTGCAGTACGTGTGCCTCTCGGAGACAGCAGAGAAACCACGCTCCAAAAGCTTTGTCATGGCCGTGTGCGTGGACGGGAGGACGTTCGAAGGCTCCGGACGCAGCAAGAAGCTGGCTAAGGGCCAGGCAGCCCAGGCTGCCCTGCAGGCCCTCTTCGACATCAGGCTGCCCGGCCACACCCCCAGCAGGAGCAAAAGTAACCTCTTGCCACAGGTGAGAATTCTCATGTAGCTGTCTGCCACGTACAGGGATGCTGGGGTGGAGGCGAGCTGGGGGTGCTCTTGCAGCAGTGGGGAATGGATTACAGCTCTGAGCAGAGTGCAGCCCCCAGCACTGGCTGTTCTGGAAAGGCCCCCTTTCCTAACCTTAGAGGAATTTCCAGGCTTTGGCAAGAGAGAAAATCATGTGACTATAAAGAAAGGCAAGAGAATGTCAGCACTCCAACCTAGCAGAAGTAATGAGGGAATTCATGAAGCCAAGTAATTTTTACAATGACAGCACCAGCTACCAGGGCAGCCAGTAGCCAGAGAGCAAGGAGCCACCAGCTGGATGGGGAACCCCTGTGTCTTCATTGAGTGGTTTGACCTGCAGGAAGGGTAGATTTCATTTATAGGCCCTTCAGTAACAGCAGGCAGAAGAAAAGGGTGGGAGGAGAAAGTGTTCAGCGGTGGTTTGGGCAGTGTTTCCAGCCAGGGAGGCCGGGGAAAACCAAGCAGATATTGTCAGTGCTTCCCCTCCGTGGCCCTGGATGAGACCAGATAGAGGTTCCCTGGGTAGGACTGCAGCAGAGCCTGAGGATCAGAGGGAGAAATCCACAGAAGACTGGAATGAGAACCAGGGGCCAGAGTCTCCCTTTGTGCAACAAACAGGATCGGTCCCTCGATCCTTTGCATGTGCCATTGTGGGTCTATTTGTTTCCCTGAGTTTATCTTCACTCGTTTAAAAAGTATTTTTAGTGACGCCTGTGTGGCAGCAACTATTCACATACCATTTGAAAACAGCCTTATTCTGACAAGTCTTGTAATTGCTTATTTATGCAAATTGTCTTTTCTCTTATCATTTTGAGGATTATTTGTGGGCATCACTAATGTAGTAGATACAGAAAATTATCTTTATTCATTCTGGGCATCAATCAAGGCAAGAAACACTTTACATAGTTAAAAAGCATTTAGCCCAGTGCGGGATTCTTTATAATTGAGTGCTTTATAATTGTAAAGTACTGAGTACTTTATAATTGTAAGCTATTGCTGTGATCACTAGCGTCATTACATCACTACACCTAGAATAGAAGCCATCATTGTGTCTCGGGAGATCATAAATCTGTTAGAGAATGCAGGCTATCACCAAAACCTCAGATGCTGTGCAGGGATGTGGTGTGGGGGCGCAAAGGGCATACAGGAGACCTTCACCCTGCGTCGTAACCGTGCGTGACCCTCATGTGTGCGTGAAGTCCATGGATTTTTATGTGGCTGTTAGCAGGCGGTCAATGGGGCAAACAGTGGGTAAAGCGACAAAGATCTCACAAAGAAGTGAAGAGAGAGAGAACGGAAATAGATGAGGAGATGCAGTGAAGGGATGACTGCTTCTCCTGGTGTCTCTACTTTCCATTTGTTCGCTTGATTTCAGCACGTGTTGACCGTCCAGTAATGGTTTTAGGAGCAGGTGGGAGGAGTGCAGGCCATAATCTCTGTTGGCCTTGCCTTTCAACTCACTCTAGATAGGTACGTGGTCCGCGTAAAAACACAGCGCTGGAAAGGCAAGGACAGCTTCTTTATACATTCCTGTGCACCTCCTGGAGAGAAGTTCCAAGGCCTTGCTTTCTCTTTCGTATGCTTCCATATTTTTTTTCCTCTCTTCTTCCTTTCTCTCTGTTGCTTTACTATCTGTAGCCTAAATTTGCCAAAACATCCACGGAAGCACCTTGCCCCCTGCTGCCTGGAGGAGCACTGGGCAGAGGGTGAGCCCCTCCTGGTGCTGCCCTTGACCTTTGACACGACTTTGCTCAGCTGGAACCTCTTGCCACATCTCTGGGAAGCCTTCCATGGTGCTTTGTGGGGGTCTCCCCCGTTGCTGTTTCACTCTTACCCAGCCTGACACCCCTTTCCAGAGAGCCTGGCACCCTGCCGTGGCCCTTAGCCAGGCCTAGAATTTTTCTGTTCAGTGGGAAATGTCCTTTCTCTCCCCTCCCACCACGTCTCTCTCCTGTGTCCCGCTGTGTGAAATTGAAGGATGTCAGTGAACTCTGGGTGCGATGCCTCCTTCTTTCATGTTGTCAACCCTGAGCTCTCACGATGGAAAAACCAGGCAGTGCTACTACTTTGTAATAGTCATTTGACCCGAGAATACAGCACATCAGTTAAAGCCACGGCTGCTAAATTATTTTTCTCTGACAGTCTGCTAACCACTCCGACTGGATGATGAAGGGCACAGAGCCACACGGAGGCTCCGGGCCATTCATCACACCACGGCCCGCCGCCGTGCCACGGGGCTCATTATCCTCCTCAGACCCCTCAGGATGCTCACCCCCCCAGCTGTGTGGAGGCCAAGCGTGACGCTGGGACTCAGGACCATGAACCACAGGCAGTTTTATGAAATTTAAATCCTGTCTTGGTTGGAATCTGGATTGAGGAAATAAAATCAAAAGAAAAGGTTCCAAGAATGGCTATAAAAGCTGCCTTGCCTTCCCGTGCTGCCTAAACCTTACCCTCTGAGGAACTCTGCCTGTGCACCTTGGAATCTGGCCTGCTCATCTGTAGATCATGAAGCCCCCATTTATCGGGTGTAGAAGCCTCATTTATATATTGTGGACACCTGTCTATATATCATGAAATTCTGGTCTTCAGATCATGGACCTGTACACCTAAACATGGCATCTCCACCTATGTGTCATGAAGCCCCTTGTATATGTCACGGAGCCTTGGTATATACATCAAGAATCACCATATGTTGATCACGGAACCCCTATAAGTACATCATGAACCTACTATTTCTATCACAGACCCTCTATCTATGCACCGTGGACATCCTCTGCACTCCATCGGCCCTGCCCCATCTAAACCCCTGAGAATCTTCCCATCTATATGTTATGCTCACCCCATCTAAACAGCTCAGAATCCTTCACCTTCACTTCATGGATTCCCCGTATCTGTATTTCACTGAAACTCCTCCTTTATACATCAGAGCTTCCTGATGTACATATCATGGGCCCCTTTCTGCGCACCATGATTCCTGCTCAAGCAGACTGCTGGTCCCAAAGGCACCATGGCTGTGCAGTTTTAGATCCCTAAAGGCTCAACCTTTCATGACCCTTGTCCAGCTGCTGTCCTAGCACCTAAGGGCAGAACAAACCCACAATCTTCCTAAAACCGTTGCCCCCAGTCTCAGAAAAGGGTAGCCTCCACCTCCGCTGAGCAATGACAATTCTACCAGAGTCTGCTCTGGATACGCTGCAGCAGCACCTCCTGTCAGAAAGGCATAATTTCTGGAATCTGGGTACCGACACCAATTTTTCATATTCTTTGCCCAGATTCCCAGAGTCTGCCCTACCTGGGTAGTCTTAGATTTGCAGGATGACAACCCGAATGTCTGTTTCTGAGATCCACACATCAATTCCATAGAAATCAACAAGATGTCGAGATGAGTCTGCTCGATGTTTTAACCTGCAGCTGGGTCTCAAAAGCAAAGCTTCAAAGCCGCCCTAGTGGAAGAAGTTTTCTCCTTTAAGTGATGGCCTATGCGAAAACTGTTTCCCGTGTGATGTTGCATAGAAATAGCTGGGAAACATGATTACCGTGCTGCTGTGGCACATAATAGTAAAAACTCAGTGGGCTCTCGAGGGGATTGAGAATCTGTATTTCCAATAGGCACTTGATTTCTGGTGGGGGAACTGCACAACCTGGACACCTGGGCCATGTTACGGGCGCCCTCAGACTCACTGGGGTGGCAGAGCCACAGAGCAGGGCAAGTCTCCCTCTGTGTCAAGGACGATTATAAGGAAGTAGAACGTCCTAAACTTGCCTCCGAGAGCTGTAATGTGTCTGCACGCTTGACCATAGTTACTTTAGCCAGAATTCCAAGTACTACCTTTCCTGAAAATGCCTAGCATAACTTCCCAGGAGCGACATAGTACAGATTAATTGCAGTCTGGACTTTGAAAGAGCATGATATTCTCAATAAAGATCTAAATCACGAGTGTGATTTCACCAGGTTCTGATCTGATTTTTACCATTTCCTGGACTCAGAGTTGGGTCTCAGAACCTGGCTCAACTCACACCTTCAGTTTCTTGAGATCTGACTCAGCTACAGTGACAAAACCCAGTGTTTAGTAAGTTCTTTAAAGCATGGAACAGACTTGAAAATGAAGGTTTTGCTATTTTGACAGATAGTATGCAGGTCAGGCAGTCCATAAATATCTAGTGATAATGACAATGCCTACTAGAAGATATCTGAAAATTCTTCATGTTTCTTTTATCTGCAGTTAGTACATGGCTAAATAGATACTTGGAAATAATAACAAGACCATGTGAGAATATACTTGTTACCTGAGAGCATCATTGTGAAAAACGTTAAAATCACAAAGCCCACTTTTCTCTTTAATCTTTAATTTCTAATCTTAGCGTGAAGAGTTGAATTCATTAAAAGCATAAATTCAACAATGAAAGATTTGTTTTCCTTTCCTTTCCATGAACAAATGGTTAGAAAAGAGCATAAAGTACATATAATGCTACTCTTAAAAAGTAAAATTACCTATGCTCATGATAATTCTGAAAAGGAACCTTTTGACTTGTTTGTAGATTTTTCATTCACTCACAATTGTTTTCTTCATTTTTAATTTTTTAAAATCTCATAGCATGAGCCTTGTTGTTCACAATGCCTACAAAGATTGAGAGCAAATAAAATGCACTTTTCCTTCATAGTAAGAGAGGGAATACCTTTATAAAAAAAAAAAAAAACTATTCAAAAAGGTTGGGTGCTTTGACCAAGCCCTTTAGAAAGCCTTTTAGGGGAAATTAGGTCTGGGGCTTCAGTTGTAGCCATTTTTCAGCAGCCCAGCATGCTTACCTAGCACCTGCCTCCATCTCCTGCTCTTTGCAGCTATTACTACTTGGAGGGAGACGAAACCATGGGAATATATAAAGTAATTGAAATGAACATTTTTTAAGTGTTGGCATTTTATAGTGCATTTGGATCTGAGCTCCTGTACATGGTACCAT